AAGGAACTCATGCAATATTATTCAAAATGGGTGACCCTGGAGGACATTATGCTGAGTGAAGTATCTCAGTCACAAAAGGACAAATACTGCATGGTGTCACTGTTGTAAAACAGGACTAACCTCGGGGTTGGGGGGAGACTGAGAAAGGTGGGTTCAATAATGTATACTGCATTGAAACAGATGAGGGAGAATTAGGTATTTTTGTCATGACAGGAGTCCAGAGCCAAGGCTGCATAGTGGAGTGGCCCTGGGAGGAGGGATTGTAAAACAACAAAAGAAGTTTTCTTCTACTTTTCAAAGAGGGTAGTGTACTAGGGGGGAGGGTTGGGAGGGGAGAAAAGTGCAACAATGAATTAATGGAAATCCAAAGTCTGTAAATTTTCATTGAAATTAATAATAAATTTTTTAAAATATGTGCATATTTTAAAAAAATTCATTCAGGTCTCAGGTAGGAAGGATCTTCAAAGCTCCATGACTCTATTTTTCTATTATTTTCTACATATTGCTGTTGAAAACAAACAATTCTTGGCTCTCCTGTCCCTAAGATACTCTTCCCCAAAGACTGGACAGCAGTCATGGCAGCCTTCCCATGACATTTTGCACTCACACATTCCAGAGGCAAACTCAGGAGAGGCTAACACAGTTTATTAACCAAACAATTGACAGCTCCGAGTTAACCAGCTGCCCCCGTAAAGATTATAGCCAAAAAACACTGTGGAACAGTTCTACAAGGAAACACTAGGGACCACCATGAACTTGAACTGACTAGACAGCAGTGGGACCTGGCTTGGTCGCAATAGCTCAGTGCGCTTAATTCAGAGAGTTTTATGATATTCTCTCATTGCACATATTTGTTCTAGTGAATTTTCTGCTTGGTTTCTCCAAGTAGACATAGCAGAGATTCTAGGTATGGTTCTCCTGCCGTGTACTATTACCCCTCTCATCGTGTCCCATAACTGGAGACCGATGAAAGAAGAATCTGTCCAGCCCTCCTTTCTGCTCTTAAAAGGAAAGCTCAAAAATACATGTGCTTTGAGGTGTGGTGTCTATTAGCTTTGAGACTTGCAAGCTTTAGACAGGAGCTCAAAGGGACTTAGTTTCTGGCGCACATGCAGTATGCCCCAGCGGGAACCAGCAATTCAGGTGACCGTAAAGTTAGTTCCATCACTCTCCACTATCCTGCAGCCCTGGTACTGCTATCCCATGCTCTGCCTCCCTTCTCCTGCAGTCCGCAGTCACTCCTGTCTCATCTCCTCTGGCACTGACTGGACATCCCTTGACCTGGTGGCTGCCAGTGCCGGGCAAGCTGGTCCTGGGTCCCAGGTTGCACAATATGGGAAAAGGACCTGTGGATAGGGAAACACACAAACATAGGTGTCACGTAAATTTTCTGGAAAGAATGCCCTGGGGAAGGGTTACTCTGGAACCCTGCTTGACTTTTCTCCTCTCCCTGACCCCAGTGGGGTAGGCTCAGTATAAATAAATACCAGCAGCCTCTCCCCAGTAAACAGGACTTACGTTCAGCTCTGCTCCCCTGGAAATCAGGTGAGTCAACCTACTCTGGTTGGGGCTTTAAAAACAAGAGCAACAAACTTACTGTGCATTGTGTCTTTATCGGTAAGATTTGTAAGTTTCATTTTAAAATGTTTTCTTGTTTTGTTTTCCTGTCTGAGTTCTGTGCTAAGCACAGCTGAACATGATGCCCAAGTCTTCGGATTAATTGCAGGATACCTGACAGAATGGGGATTTGATCATAACTACCCTCTCCCTCTACCAGTACCACCTTGGCTTCCTCTTATACAATCTTGGGGTTCAGGGCTGACAGGTCGAGAATGAGGGCTATGGCCTACAGTGAGGTGAAGTTTCCTAGGGTGATTCCTAGGTACTAATGAGAACAAATGGTAAGAAACAACAAGGCTATCTTTCAGATTGCAGAGTGGCATCTGTCGGTCTTGTCCTTGTCTCCCTGACCCTCTGTTTTCATCGCAGGAGAGATGAAGCTTTTCACAGGCCTCATGATCTGCTCCTTGGTCCTGGGAGTCAGCAGTCAGAACTGGTTGACCTTCATCCCAGAGGCTGTTCAAGGTAAGACCAGTGGAGGAAAGGGGGCTTGGCACCCACCTGGTGCTAGAACTATACCTGAGAGCTGCCCAGTGTCTAGGGTGTGCTGGGTGCCTGACGAGCTCTTCTTTCAACAGGTTGGAATTCACAGGGATTTGCCTCAGTTACTCAGAAAAGAACTGTGATAATTTCAACAGAATGTATTACAAATACTTAAGTTATCTATTATTACTTCCCCTTTCTTTCCCTAAGTTCCTCCTTCCTTCCTTTGCTCTTTTAGTTGCCTGGCTGGATAAGGTAGGGGGCGCCTCAGCCCAGCTCTTCCTGATGGTCACTACGTCCAGTCACTCTCTTCCTGGTTTGGCTTGATTCCTTTCCCTTTTCAGTCTTTTAACTGCCCTGCAAGGGGAATTAATGTCTATCAAGCCTCCAGTAGTAATTAAGCACTTCCAATTTAGGTGGCCAACAGTCCTAATGTGCTGGGCCTAAGGAATTTCCCATGACAGGTTACTTTTACTGCTAACTCTAACAGTTGATCACCCTACTCAAACCTGAAAACAAGCTGGTAAAATAGGCATCTTTTCTTGTTTTGAACACAAAGAAGGTGAGACTTAGAGAGCCGATTGCTCAGAACCATTCCACTTGTCAGTAGTTAATGGGGGAAATTTTAATGTCAGATACAAAAGTTCTCCTGGGTATATGCGTGTGATTTGGCTGTTCCTAAAGACTGTGACTGATTCAAGTGATGCTTTTTCTAATCACCTGCTATGCATCTGAGACCTGGACAATGAATAAATAGAAAATAGAAAAAAATATTAACAATAGAAAGAAAAATTGATGCCTTTGAGTTTTGGTGTTGGAGAAAACTACGTAATGATTTTGGGCTACCAAAAGAACCAACAGATGTTATCTTAGAGGAAGTGCAGTCAGAATGCTCATTGGAGGCTAGGATGGTGAAGCTTCATCTCACATACTTTGGGCCTATTGTTGGAAAGTGTGCTTGGAAAGGTAGAAGGTCAGTGAAAGGAAGACCCTCAGCAGGATGGATTGATACAGTGACAGCAGCAATGGGCCCAAGTATGACAGAGATGATGAAGATGCCAGAGAACAGGACACGGTTCAGGTCTGTTGTTCACAGGAAGCTGAGTCACATGCAACTCGATGGCACCTAATAATAATGAACAACAAGGCATCATGGTCTACTTATGTTCTGGAATCAACTGGAGGTGATTTCTGAGACCCTCAGAAAATAGTTATTGACCCAGACCCAGAGTCTAACGTGGTTGGTCTGTGGTCTAATGTACATGTGGTCTGGATGTTGTAAACGGAATTTTCTCCCCGGGGGATTACAGCAAAGCCTGAGAACCACTGCTACAAGCTACTCCAAGCAATGCACCTTTTTAGGACTATTTTCAGGGGGGTAGAATCTATGTCCCTAACAAAGTAGAAGAATTTAGATTCCATTTACCTGCATTCCGTTTGTAAGTACACACTTTTTTAAAACATTAGGGCAAAAACTCTATATGCATCTGCAGACTTTGTCAGAATCAACATCACCACCACACTCAAGACAGCCCCATGCAGCTCATCATATGAAGCTTCACTGTGCAGGCATGCTCTCACTCGTGAGCTAGGGTTGGCATACGAGAGGAAGACCCACAAGAAGATGGATTGACACAGTTACTGGAATAATGGGCTCAGGCGTGTCGGAGATGGTAAGGATGGCACAGGATAAGGCAAGGCTCAGATCTGCTATTCATAAGGTCATTATGAGTTGTGGTTGACTTGATAGCACATAGTCTCTAGGGAAGTCTATTACTAAGCTAAGGGCCAGCTGTATCTGGTAGTTCAAATCCACCAGTGATTCGAAAGGAGAAAGACTGGTAGTCTCCTTCCTTAGTATTTACAGCCTCAGAGACCCAATAAAAGATCACTATGATTAGGAACTGACTCAATGATAGTGAGTGAGCTTGTGAGCGTGGTCAGTCTCAGTGTCAAAACTTCAGGGGCAGGACTACTGCCATCTAGTGGACAAAGGCTACTACATATGCTACAAGGCAGCCACCAAGCCAACAAACTATTGATGTGACTCAATAGTTCAATTTAAAAATAATATGCTATTTTCCTTCTTTAAGTGTATCATTTAAAGCCTGTAATAATATGGAGCACAAAGCATCACATCAGTTGGACAACTAAATGCAAGTGCTCTACATCTAAATGCCCCAACCATAATCACCTTCAAGCCGACAACTGGGATTAAGGAATGTCCTCATCCTATGTTTAAGGATGCTGTAACCACAAGTTGAAGGGTTGTCCACACAATATCCCTTTTGCCATTTCCTTTCCCTTCCAGGCACCTGGGATATGCTTAGAGCCTATTACGACATGCGAGAAGCCAACTACATAGGTGCAGACAAATACTTTCATGCTCGAGGGAACTATGATGCTGCACCAAGGGGACCTGGGGGCGCCTGGGCTGCCGAAGTGTTGAGGTAATGAAGAACCCAGAGGTGGACCAAGAACCGCGGAGATTTTTATAGAGTTGGGAGGGAAAACACCCTGGAGAAAGTTCCTATTGTCCCCTATGGCCTACTATTCCCCCCATGATTACTGTGGGGTATGAGTGACCAAGAGTCAGACCATCACTGGTGAGAAGGGTGATTCCTGCTCCTCATCCAGCCTAAGGGTGGCCAGCCAAGGCTGAGCAGGACTCTGACCAAACAGGGTAACTTGCCCCTCTCTCCCTGTCTCCTCTCAGAGTCGTCCTTTGAAGGAAGGAAAGAGCTGTGAAGTTGGGGCTGCTGCACATGAGCCTGATGATTAATCCCTTCCCTTCTTTCCTTCACTGCAGCGACTTCAGAGAGAATACTATGGGAAGAGTCACAGACTTCTTTAAGCATGGAGAGAGCGGTCATGGAGCAGAAGACTCGAAAGCTGACCAGGAGGCTAATAAATGGGGGCGGAGCGGCAAAGACCCCAATCACTTCAGACCTGCTGGGCTACCTGACAAGTACTGAGAGTTCTTCAGACTTGTTCTCAGATACCCACCTGTGAGATCCTCGGGGATCAGACAGCTTTCAAATTCTGTTACTGTTGGAAAGTAGTAAAAGGCATACAGGAGATGCTCAATAAATTGAAATATGGTGTATCTTTGTGGAGCAGTTTGGTACTAAACGAGGGGGATCAAAGAGCACCAACCCAATGGAGGCTTGTCTTTGTGTCTGAACTTGTGAGGTCAAACCACCTCCTAACTAGTCTATTTACCACTTTCAACCTTGTAATTAAGATGGCATAAGATTTATCATCCAGTTAGGTAACTTTCAAGATTGAAGAAGAGTTTTAATTAACCCCAACAACCACTACTGTCTGTTAGTTTGAATGTTGCTTTGATACTAGAAATGTTTCAAATACTTGAAGGCTCGCCCGCCCGTAGATAAACTTCCAAATTAAGGCAGATTAAGGAGAAAGTCCAGGAAATCTACTTCCAAAAATTAGCCAATGAAAATGTTATAGGTGACACTGGGACATTGATATGATGCGAGAAAGTGAGCTCCCTAGGTTAACAACAGTCCTCCATCACTTTGACCTGTGAGACTTAGGGTCACCATGAGTCAGACAACTAACAACTAGAATGAACTAGGCTTGTCCTGAGCACAAGAGGACCTGCGTCATCATCTTAGCTCTCTGCTCAGCACTCAGCATGGTATTTATAAGCCATGATCACATCAAGTTCCTCCCTTGCTCTTTCGGCACATCAGATGCGGGGCAACCATCCACCTTCATCTGCTACCACACTTTCCCAAGCTCACAACTCGTCAGTCAAGTGGCCTTCATAAATGCTTCATAGTGGACGGGGCAGTTCTAATTTGCCAAAGTAAAGAACTTGCCATTCATCTGAAAATAGTTTACAGGATCTACCTGTCACCACCTTTAGGACCACTTCAGCTTTCAAACCACATCACACTCTCCTCAGAATTCCCAGACAATGTATGAGCAATAACAGGATACGAGGCCTTGGCCATTTCTATCAAATGCAAGACACCCCTAAGGGGCAATCTTGGTTACTGGATCCCCACTGAGCTTGGTGAGACTTTGTCAAATATGAATCACATTCTGAATGAAAGCTTTGCCTTTCTAAGCCTGCTGCTTCCCATATAGCCTAGCTGACATACCCTCTCAGAATCTGTATTTTAACAAGATCCTCTATGCTCGTTTGAGAAGTACAGTCTAGAACTATATGGATTAGATGAATGACTAAAGGGAAGCATTTAAGTTGAGCCAAGTCAGGGATGACTACAAAATTCTGAGCTTAGATTGGGGCAGTAACAAATCTCACAGACAAGAAGAAACGACTGACCTCAACCTTACCACTCTCGGTTCCCTAAAAACTGGCATCTACAAATCTGATGGCTGATGCAAACTGTTGAGGCACTCGTCTACTCACAGAAGGCTAGATGTTTGGTCCACACACAGGAAAGAGGTTCCACAGAGAAAGATCTTGTGGTCCAACTCTAAAAACTGGCCACTGAAAACCCTATGGAGCAGTTCTCCTGACCCACCTGGAAGGTCAAAGCCTAATGATGGTAACTGGTGATGGAGTGGGGCAGGCTGGGTCACTACAATGACTTTAAATATTACCTGCTCACTATGTGACAGGCTCTGCGCTCTGCACTTTATGGCCTCATTTAATTTTATGTGTACATGTAGCCACTGTGCAAGATGCTTTACATTCATTATTTAATACTTTATCCACACTTAGTGAGCGCTATTATGCCCCATCACAAAGAAGGAAATGGAAGGTTAAAGAAACCAAGTAAAATTTTTTCTTTAACGCTTTTTAGAAAAAGAGCAGATATTCCAACCGAGGCAGTCCGCCCTAGAACCAAAGTTGTCTGTCACTATATATACACCATTGAACAGATCTGGGGCTAATATAAACCTTAAATAGACATTCACCAAAGAAATTCAAACGGCAAATAGCACATGAAAAATATGCCCAACATCACTCACTAGTCATTAGGAAAATGCAAATCAAAGCCATGAGACACCACTTCCTATCCCATAGAATGGTTATGATTAAAAACATGGGAAGCAACAGGCGCAGGCAAGGATACAGAGAACCTGAAGTCCTCATCCCTCACTGGTACCAAAACCAAAATTACTCTGTCATTAATTCTGATTCACAGTGCTCCTACAGGACACAGCAGAATAGCTAGCTGCACAGGATTCCCAAGTCTGTATTTACGGAAGGAGCTTGTATCTTTCTCCTGCGGATCAGCTTGTTGCTGTTGTTCTTAGGTGCTGCCAAATATGACTCATAACCCCAAGAACAGCAGCTCTGAATCCTGCCCTATTCTGTGTCTCTTGTCATTTCTGGTATTTGAGCCCACCACTGCAGTCAATGTGCCATTTCATCACTGACCCTCCACTTTCCCAAGCATGATGTGTCTTTCCAAGGAACATGCTCACAAATGCCTAGCAAGTGACTGCAATAAACCAGGGCTTGAATTAGGCATGCCTTAGTCTTCAAACGGACATCAGTACTCCTCAATAATTTGGAGATGTTCCTGACTACAGACTTTCCTAGCAATCCTCAATTGTCAAAAGAGTACAGAGAAATTTCCATCATGAGGGGTTGTACTTGACTCGATAGCACCTAACAACAATGTGCTCAAAATATGTGATGAAGAACTGCCATCTTTGTTTCCAAGGAGCACTCTAGTTGCAATTCCTCCATAACAAGAGCTCTCTTTTTTGGCAGTTCCTGGGATACTCAGTACTCCTTTCCAACACAATTCAAATGTATCAATCTCTCTCCTGTTATCCTTATTTCTTATCCAGCTCTCAGCAGAGTGACTGTTTGAATCAGCCTGAAACAGGCACACTTTAGTCTTTAAACTGACATCATTGTTCCTCGGTACTTTAGAGAGATCCCTGACAGTAGATTTTCACAATGCAATTCATCTGCTGATCTCTTGACTGCTGGTACCAAGAGTGCTGATTGTGAAAATGAAATAGTTAACAATTTGAATCTTTTCTCTATCATTATCATATTACCTATTGGCCCAGTGGTGAGGACTACTGTCTCCTTGATATTAAGAAGTAGCCCATATTGAAGGCTGTAGTCTCTGATCTTCTGCAGCCGGCATTTCAAGTTCTTCTAACTTTCAGCAATAAGGCTATGTCATTTGCATAATGCAGATTGTCGATGACTCTTCCTCTGATCCTGATGGCACAATCAAGTCACCAACCAATGGCCAACCATAAGATGCTAAGCAACATGATTATTAACTGTACCAGCAGTGCTCTTCTTCATCACACTGCTGACAGAAATGTAAAACGGGACAAGCACAGAAGAAAACCATCTGGCAGTTCCTCAAAAGGCTAAATGGAGACTTACATCTATCAATGTCTTCCTAGGTAAAATACTCAAAAGAATTACCAGAACATAGAGAGATAGTGCTACACTGCAGCACTATCCACAATAAACAAAAGTGGAGACTGTGTGAATATTTGGGAACAGAGGAACACATAAAATGTGGTATATGCAAACAATGGAATATTATTTATCCATAAAAAGAAATGAAGTCCTGATACATGTTACAATAAGAAGAAACTTTGAAAACATTGAGTGATACAAGTTTCAAAGGACAAATAATGTATAATCCCAATTATAAGAATTATCTCAAATAGACACTTGTCCAGGGGGCTAAGTTTAGTAGTGGTTCCAGGATGTGGTTAGATGGGAGGGGAAAAGGAAGGCACAATGGTTAGGGCACACTGATGGTCTCTGAAAGGTGACAGAAAAATTCAGGAAAGGTTAATAGTGATAGGGGACCAATATGAAGATGTAATTAACGTCACCAAACATACCCATGTATTGTAAAATTGGTAGAAAAAGAGGACAGGTGAGGCAACTATGAATTACAATCTATTTCTAGAATGTTTACACAAGTGTCAGATATAAATGATTTTTAAAACACTGCTCAATATCCAAGTAAATTGTATTGAAACATTTTAAATTTAGTCTTTTTTTCCTTTCTCTGCCTCGGGAAATTAAGTCTCGATGACACTATTTTAATAACAGACACACACAACTTAACGATGGACATTTCTCTATACCCTTCTGGTAAATGAGGATTGCTAGAAAAGCTTGGGGAGGTCTGTGAGGAGATGAGTGCACACTCACGCTAGTTCAGGCTGTCTGTTAGGAGTTTCCCTGTGTTAGTCTTTGGGACAGTCAGTGTGTAAAGACTGAAGCTGACAGGCAGTGAAAAGAGGATCTCACTCTCCCATTTACTGCAGATGCAACACATACCGGTACAGCCAAAACTGAGTGGACACCAGAGAAAAGGTTTTCCAGTTTCTAAAATTCTTGGCTTTGTGAAGTCTCCTTTCCCTAAATAATCTCTTCAGTCCATCTGGTTATGTAATACTCATATGGCATGTGTAGCATTTCCTGGCCTTCAATTCTCTGTATAGTTTTGTCTCCAATACTGTGCTTATTCCATATTGCTTATCCCACACAAATCTGCAAAGTGCTCCAAAAAACCTCCTCAAATTCAAATTCTGTTTGAAATATGAAATGATTAATCAGTTTTCACATTTCTCTTTATCTATTTAGCTACTGGAATTAAAGGATACACATTCTTCCTGAAACTTTTATTAGTACTCAGCTTTTATTATGGCTTTCGAAAAATAATCCTTGAAAGTGCATGATTAGTTAGGGAAATTTGTTTAGGGTAGATAAAACATTTCCAGTAATAAATTAGTCAGTTATTTATACCTTCATGGTAGAAAATGTCAAATAAATACTGGGAAAATATATTTTTTAAGGTGAGCTCAGTTTAGGTCTAAAGCATTTCATCTAAATTTATAATTTTAATCTTTAGTATTTCATCCACTTTATGTGTTGATTCTATTGTAACAAGTCCTAGTCCAGTAATTTCTATATTGTCCCAGAAATGAATCAAAAGAAATCCAACTCTAGTCAATAATATAATCTGTTTTCATATGACCAGGGCTAGAAGCTGCCCTACATAGGCACCACAGAGGATAATACTTTCCCAATCCAGTGGCAAGGAGTAAATAATACTGTAGTTCAAAATAAGCAGTATCCAGGTGGTACTTCATTTCCACAAACAAGGACTGACTCCTTTCAGAATAGAACTTTGGTCACAGAGCCACAAATGATGTGGGTATAGACACTTTAACAACAGCAAACAAGGAGGCAGGCTTATCAGGTGGTGTTTTTCCTTCAATAAAAAATACATTAAGGATGTTCATTCCATTTTCTCAAAATGTCTCGACACTCATTGTACCAAATCCTCTTCCACTAGGCCTGATGGGACCAGAGAAACCGATCGCATTTTTCAAGCATGATTTGTATCAAGGCTCTGAAAATCCAAAGAAAGAAAGAATCAAAATTAGTTGTCATTTTTTAGTCTTCACAGAAAACATAAAGCCCACAAAGAATTTACAGATTAAGGTGACTTGAGGCAATTAGTTATCTCATTTGAAAATATAAAATCAAATATATATCAGATGTATCCAGTATCTTGGTCATGATTGTGAATGAAATATTACTTTATCTTTTTACCTTAACAGATACATTTCAGTACCCTCATCTATCAGTGACAGACTGGAGATGAATGATCCCTAGAGTCCCATTAAACCTCTTAAAGTCTGTGAGGCTTTATGTTCTCCAAGCACCTATACAGAGGGTATGACAGGTATTACCTCTGCCTTTTCTCAGCAATCCTCAGGACATCACAGGTTCTAGTAAACCTCTCTGATAAATCAAGGGTCAAACCACATTCCTGTAGAAGAGACCAGGCCCGATCTGGGCCCATAGCCTTAGCTAACAGGAGCGCCACGTTCTCCACGGTGATAGGGGAAGGTCCATCACTGAGGTTCTCATCTGGTGACACTTGGAGGACTGGTCCTGTGTTCTTGTTTTGTACAAGATGTAAAAGAAGCTTCCACTCCTCCAGACTCTCTGGGATCCACCCTGTACACACAGACACAATGCTGGCTGGGTCAGTGCTCAGTTGACGTGCTCAAGACTACTTGTGAATGCATTTAAAATGAAAACATAAACATGTTCAAAACATAATCTAACACAAGGTTGTTTTCCAAACACAGTGAATACATATTTCATTATAAAGAAAAATAAAATAGCTTTACTATTCTTTTGCTGTCACTGTTGTATGTCATCAAGTTTATTCTGACTCATAATGATCCTAAAGGATGAAGCGGACCTTCCGCCCACAGGGTTTTCAAACTCATCATCTTTACAGAAGCAATCTGTCATATATTTTTCTCATGGAATGGCTGAGGGGTTTAAATGCTGACCTTTCATTTAGAGGCCTAAGTGTTTAACCCTGGTGTCACTAGAGCTCTTTATTTTTTTATTCATTTAATCACTCAGTAAGTAATTAGCCCAAGGCACATTCTATCACAATAATGAACAAAAACATAAGATCCCTAAACTTATGTGGATCTTACAGTCTGGTAAAGGAGTTAGAACTTAAGCAAATAAATCTATACATTAAAATGTGCTAAGTGCTAATAAGGAAAAGAAAAAGGATTCATTAGGGGAAAAAAGGCAAAGAAGGATCTAATTTTGTTTGAAAGGTTCTAAGAAGAACCGAGCATTTACTTAAACAGGTAGCAGCTGCAAGATGAGAAAAACTAGAGAAAGGCATGTGCATGTGGCCTAAACATGTGGAAATTTGTGGAAGGTCATCAGGATAGAAAGGAAACATGGAAGGTTTCTTGATACAGTAAGAATCTGGCCAGTTCACACAATTCAAAAGAGGCATATAGGGCACCAAAAGAATTAAGTAGTAAGAACAAGATGGCAAAGCTAGGCTGTGTGGGTCTATTTAAGAACCTGGAGTTTACTCTGAATGTATAATAATAGGTTTTAAGAGTGAGACTCATATAGCCCAATTTTTGTTTTAAAAGAATCATTACAGGTGCTATCTGGAAAACAAAGTGAAGATGGGCAAGAATATAGAGAAGATGACTTGTTACAAAGCTATTGCAGTAGCAGGGACAAATGGCAAGGCCCAGTGATGTAGAAGAGAAAAAAGTGGATAAACGCTGAGATATGTTATTTGGCAGCAAAATTAACAAGTCTCGGTGTGAAATTGATATGAGCTATAGAGAGACAAGTGTAACAAGATCTTCACTTATTAAAAGGGTCTAAATAATTCCTACCATTAAATCTGCATTAAATCTGCATTTAGGGACCTTTCCAAATTACTGAGAAGAAGTGAAGTCAGTCTGAGTACTAAGGTGCGTCTGATTCAGGCCATAGTCTTTCCTATTACTAGTTATGCATCTGAGACCTGGACAGTGAATAAGGATGAGAGGAAAAGAATTGACACCTTTAAGCTGGGGTCTTGGAGAAGAGCAATGAACATTCCTTGGATGGCCAAGAGATCGAACAGGTATGTCTTGGAGATGGTGCAGTTGGGGTGTACTTTGGAGGAAAGAATGATGAGGCTTTGCCTAACATACTTTGGGCATGTTGCTAAGAGGGGCTATTCCTTGGAGAAGGATATGATGTTGGGAAGGGTGGAGAGTCAGAGAAGGAAAGGAAGACCCTCAATCAGGTGGATTGCTACAATGACTATTACAATGGGCTTTTGTGTATCAGGAAGTGTGAAGATGGCGCAGGATAGAAGAGAGTTCAGATCTTTTGCTCTTAGGGTTGCTATGAGTCGAGCTCAATCCGACGGCCTCTAACAACAATAACAATTTTTAATATAATTATAATGTTGACAAATATTAAGAGTATTTTTATCTAGGAGGAGAGAATTTTATGATTATTTAATAGCCTTATTCTTCCCTGAATTATCAATTTTTCCTGTAACACTTATATCATGCTGTAACTTTGAAAAGATAAAACATTTATACCATTTTGGCTGTTTTTAAGAAACATAAGCATAAATATGTTCATGGAAATGCTAATCCTAGTTGTTTACTGAAAAATCTGAAGTACATTCTAAACACAATAATCAGGAGTAACCAATGGGGATTTACATACCATTGTCCCCTTCCATCAGGCTCATATCGTCCAGATGGACAATGTTAGCAAAAGCTTCCCTTCTTCTCTCCAGCTCCAAGCAGAGAGTGAGATATCCAGGCCAGAAGCTTCAAAGAGACCAGAGGAGAAGAAAGAGCTAAAAGATGGTAAATTAATCTAGATCTGTGCTGTCCAAATACAGTTCTGGTGGGCTAGAAGTAAGAAGCTGTGCTGCAACCCCAAACGCAAGGGGTTCAAATCCACCAGTACTCTGCAGAAGTGGGAAGCCCACTGGAGGGTCAGTTATGGGTCAGTTTTAACTCACAACAACAATAGCTAGCTATAGGTGGTTATTCAAGTTTAAATTAATTAAAAGCAAATAAAATTACAAAGTCAGCTCTTCAGTTAACTGAAATTACTCAGTGGATACACATGGCCAGTGGCAAGTGTAATGCACAGCATAGAAGTACATTTCCTTTATCACAAAAATTCTATTGGACAATCATCATCCAAAATGTCTAAGGTGAAAAGAGCTACTCATAAATATAGATACTTGAAGTCACACTCCAGCAACAAACATTTATGTTTATATTTTTAATTAATGTTATATTTCAACACTAAATTTTCACGTTTATTCTCTAAATTGATGTAAATCTTGGAAGATCTTGTCTCTTGTTCACCTGCTGTGCCCAGCATCAACAAGTTCTACCGCATCTCTCTTCTGCTGTCCCCTAACTAACACTTCACTCATCATACGCAAATTAGCTCAACAGCTTCCTAGCTCGCTTTCTTATCTCCTTGTGTCTAACAAAAGAAATGATCTCTAGAAAGAGTCTGATTATTGGGGTTTTTAACCTATAAGGGTCTCTCACCAGACTATTGTTCAGCTAATTCTGAATGATGGAAATCCAATTTGATTTCAATGGTGAACTGTTCAGAAACACACTGCCAAGCCTTCATCCTGACTGCTCTCTAGCAGGACCCAAATCATCAATCTTTTGGCGAGTAGCTGAGCACATTAACCATCTGCATCATCCAAGGATAAAAGTCTCTCAAAATGCAAACTCACTGCCATCAAGTTGGGACTAACGGCCAACGCTCTATTGGGTTTCTGAGGCTATAACTCACACAGGAGACTGTACACCTTCCTCTCACAGAGCTGCTAGAGGAACAGCACTGCTAGAGAGGTGTGGGTTTTGGGTTAGCAGTGCAACTTCTTACAGACTAGGCTTTGAGAGCTCCAATTAGATGTTTGTGAGCACTTTTCAAGGTTCTCACTACACATCACCTACTCAGTTTAATGCCTCACTATCCACAACCAGCATCTGCTTCAGTTACCAAGATCTCTCTGAATAAATCATGTATCAAGCATCTACCACTGCAGAAATTAAGCACTACACGAGAACATGAAGATACAGACCCCCATCTCCAAGAGACTACAATTCTTGTAATCTCTTTCACTCATTCATGTGGAGTGATAAAACAACTAACCAATAAATTGCAGACCAATATGTAGTACAGATAACAAGCAATATGGGTTTTTCATTGTTCTTGTTTTCTTCACACAACCTGACTTCCTTCCTGTCTTCTTTAGAAAACTAAATCCTCCCCAGACTCCAGGGCTTGCTTCCACCATCCTGTCTCCTCCCAGACTCCTCCATCAGTGACTCTACTGAAAAAACTCCCTTCTCAGAAATCCTGTTATCAATGTTAACAAGTAACAGGTAATCTGGGACTGACCATTAAACACTATCTACATGTCTGAAAAGTAGAGAATTAGCAACTAATGATGCATCAGATTTAAAAGAAAATAAATATTTACTATTTTTTATAACAAAAGTATACTTTTGCTTCTTAATAACAAAGAAAATTTTCAAATGATAAGACACCTTGATTCTGACCATCACCTGCAAGGTAATTTCTGATATAATTGTATTCTTTATCTCAGCCTCTAAGGAAATTCTCACTTACCCACCAGACCTACAGATGTCAGTCATTTTTTCTTTGATTATAAAGGCGGCTGGCAGTTTAACTAAATGAAGAATCAGTTGATTGTATCCCCAGGAAAGTAAATGAGAATGAGGCCTGTATCAGAAATAAGGAGTATCAATAAATGAAGATGAGTGGTAAATTCTAAAATTGCTTACTAGTCCTCTAATAAAATAGAGCTTAATTATAACTATTTCATTACCACAATATTTTTAAACAGAGCTTTTGTAATAACACAACGTTTAAATATTTAAAAATACAAAATAGCAGGCCTCTGAAAATTCTATGTACAACAGAACACATGTGGAATAACAGAAAGGGCAACTGAGGTGGAACTTTCAAGTACTAGGAAGAAGGACAGGCAATCCACTTCCAACAGAGCAGAATTTAGGGCTGTTGTACATAGGGTCACTATAGTCGCAAGCGACTCAATGGCACATATCAACCACAACAACAACAAAATAGTAAAAAATAGATAAAAACAGAGCTTACCTATAATTATTGTACTATAATTTTTATATTTTATTATATTTTTCAAACATTTCAGTTTGACTTTAAGACTTTTTCATGTTTACTTTTTCCTCCATAACAATCATGTTTTTGTTGTTATGTGCCATCAAATAGCCTGCAACTCATAGTGATCCTATGTACAACAGCCCTAAACTCTGTTCTATCCTTTGCCAATCTTATTGTCTCTGACACACTTATCCCCATTACACTGTGACGGAATCAATCCATCTCATCGAGGGTCTTCCTCTCTTGCATGTCCCTCCACTCTCCCAAGCATGATGTCCTTCTCCAAGGACAGATCCCACCTTGCAACATGTCCAAAGTATGTCAGACAAAGCTTCACCCTCTCTAGGTCAAACCTGTTCATTCTCTTAACAGTCCATGGTATATTCAATATTCTTCTCCAACATCACAGCTCAAAGGCATCAACTCTCCTTCTATCACCCTAGCCATTGTCTAGCCCTCTGATGCATAGCAAGTAATTGCAAAGACCATGGCCTGTATCACAAGCACCTTAGCCTCCAGAATGACACTACTGCTCTTCAGTACTTAGGAGAGGTCTCTGACAGCAGACTTTCTCAGTGCAGTTTGTCTTTTAATTTCCTGGCTGCTGGTGCCAAGAGTGTTGATCGTAGAGCCAAGCAAACGGAAATTGTCAACAATCTCAATCTTTTCATTATCTATCATGATGCTGCCAATTGGCCCAGTGGTGAGAATCTTTGTTTTCTTGATGTAGAGCTTCAATCCACACTGAAGGCTGCAATCCTTGACTTTCTGCAGTAAGCATTCAGGTCCTCCTCAGTTTCAGCAAGCAGAGTTGTGTCATCCGCATAATGCAGATTGTTGATGAGTCTACCTCCAATCCTGATGCCACACTTCTTCTCCTAGAGCCGAGCCTCCTGGATAATCTGTTCCACACATAGATTGAAAAGATATGGAGATAGGACACATCCTTGACGCATACGCTTCCCAATTTTGAACCATGCAGTGTTTCCTTGTTCTGTTCTGACTACTCCTCCTGGTCCAAGTACAGGTTTTGCATAAGCACAAATCATGTGTTCAGGTAACCAAAATCACAGCTGGCCAATGCATATCCCTATAGACTTTTTGGTCATTGTTTATGCCTGCAGATCTTACAGGCATGCAAGATAGGCTTTCTTTCAATTTAAAAAGCTCCTTGTGGTGAAAGTGCAGGACTATTTCTGATATACTCAAAATATAAGGGTGAATTTTTTTAAAATAAAAACTCTAGGTTTACAAAATAATTAAAAAAAATACCAAAAAAACAAAAACTCTAGGGTTTTTTATTCTTCCAAACCATTAATCATATTATGACCATGACTTAAGTCAGTCTTTTCCATAGCAGTTCTTGAAAGTAAGCCTAGAATATCATATAGGAATAAATCATTTTCATTCCCAAGAAACTTGGGAGCTTAAGAAGAGGACTCTTCCATACCTGGGGTGTCCTTCATCATCCATAGTGCTTGTGATTGGTGGAGCATCATGGGACACTGCCAAATGCAGCCAATCCAACCTTAAAGATTCTGGTTGTAGAAGGGACTCCAGGAAAGACGGCCTAAAAGAAAGATAAGGAACCAAATACAATGCCCCTTCCTGATAAAGACACTCAGCAAAATTGGAATAGAAAGGAATTTCCTCAACATAGTGAAAAGTATATGTGCAAAATCAAAGCCAACATCATTATTAATGGAGAAAGACTAAAAGCATTTTCCTTACAAACAGGCACCAGACAAGGATGCCCACCGTCACCACTTCTATTCAATATTGTATTCGAAGTGCTTGCTAGGGAAATATGACAAGAAGGAAATAAAAAGTATCCAGATCAGCAAATGGATGGTTAAACTGTCGCTATATGTGGATGATATGCTAGTACAGAGAAAATCCCAAAGACTCAACAAAAAACTGTTAAGAGTTAATAGGCTAATTTAGTAGAGTGGCAGGATAGAAGATCAATATCCAAAAATCAATAGGATTCCTCTATAGTAACAAAGAAGACTCAGAGAAAGAAATCAAGAAAGCAATACCATTTACAATTTAAGTTTTTTAAATAAGTGCCATCAAGTCATAGATAACTCATAGTGACCCTATGAATGAAAGTCTTAAACATGAAAATTTTTCATCTTGTCTCTAAGTTCACTGAGTTTCTGGAGGCAAGCTATTTTTGTAATCAATGCAATTGAGATACTTGGAGTGAACCTAACTAGAGATACAAAAGAGCTATACAAAGAAAACTACAGAACATATCTGCAAGACACAATAAAAGATCTAAAGAAATGGAAAAATGTGCCTTCTTCATGCATGGATAGGAAGATTCAATTATTGTGAAAATGACAATCCTACCACAAGCAATCTACATGTTCAGAGCAATCCCAATCCAGATGCCAAATTCATTTCTCAAGGAGATCTAAAGGGAATTTATCAAATTTATTTGGAGAGGCAAAAGACCTCAAATAAGCAAAACACTTCTTAGAAACAAAAATGAGGTGGGAAGTACAGCACCCCTGACCTCAAAACTACTACACAGCAGTAGTAACCAAAACAGCATGGTACTGGTACAATGACAGGCACATAGACCAATGGAACAGAACTGAAAACCCAGAAATAGACCCAGCTATCTATGGTCAACTGATATTTGACAAGGAAATCAAAGCTATCAAATGGGTAAATGACAACTTCTTCAATAAAAGGTGCTGGCAAAACTGGACTTCCACCTGCAGAAAGGTGACACAGGATTCCCATCTCACACCATACACAAAAATCAACTCAAGGTGAGTCAGAAACCTAAGAGTAAAGCCCAAAACCTTAAAGTTCATAAGAGACAAACTGGGATCAAGCTAAGAAGTGCTAGCCCAAGGTATAAAGAGACTGCCAAATATAGCCACAAATGCATAATCTGAAGATGATAAAATTGATGAATGGGACCTTCTAAAGATTGAATCCATGTGGGCATCAAAAACTTTTTGCAACAGGGTCGAAAGAAAAGCTACCAATTGGGAACAAATATTTGGTAATACTATCTCAGACAAGAGTCTCATAACGAAAGTTTAACAAAATATTCCTGGGCCTCCACAGACTGATAACCCAATTACAAAATGGGCAAAAGACATGGAAAGTATTTTCACAGAGGAAGATATTCAAATGGCCAACAGACAAGTGAAAAATGCTCAAAATCACTGGCAATAAAAGAGATGCAAATCAAAACCACAGTGAGGTACCATCTCACACCAGTAAGAGTGGCAAAGTTTAACAGGGCAGCAAGTAATAAATATTGGTGAGGATGTGGCAAGAAAGAAACTCTTATACATTGTTGGTGGGACTGAAAAATGGTACAACTATTCTGGAAGGCAGTTTGGCGCTTCCTCAAAAAGATGAACATAGAAGTGCCATATGACCCAGCTATTCCACTACTTGGTATATACCCTGAGAAAATAAACTGAAGCACGAACAGAGATTTGTACAACAATGTTCAGCATTATTCACCATTGCAGGAACATGGAAATAGCCCAAATGTCTAACCATAAATGAATAGATTGAGAAATTATGGTACATTCACACAATGAAATACTATACAGCATTCAGGAAGAATGATTTTTTAAATTATTATCTAACTTGTGAGGGGCTGGAGAGCATTATGTTGAGTGAACTAACTCAGTCCCACAAGGATAAATAAATGTATAAAACCATTATTGTAGAATGAATATAAGGATCCAAAGGGAGTTGGGGAGGGTAAAAGCAGAGGGATGCGGATGTGCAGGGGGAAGGGGAGTTAATAATGGAGTTGTACAATTTGATGGGTGGGGGGTGAGGGAAATTGGAAGAATCTGTTCTGGAAAAAAATGAATTAGAATGATGTAAATAAACTAGTATAAAAAAATAAAAGAAAGATAAAGAGAGAAACCACCAATCTTCACATGACAAAGGAATTGTTGTTGTTAAATGCCTTCCAGATTCACAGCAATCCTATGAACTTTCTTCGTTTCTCCAGGTTCATAGGGGAGAGGCTAGCTATTATGGAAGTGGATGCCACTCCTGCTTACAAGCTTGTTTTAATCGGTGAGCATCAGCAAACACTGCCCACCATGGGTGACCAATATCACATTTGTCACATCAGGGTCACAATGTTCAGTATCACAGCCACCACAAGTTACCTCTGTACAGCAAATCGACAGAGCAGTGGTATACCACCTAGAAGAATGTCTGACCAAAAACAATTAAAAACAGGCCTGAGGGACACAGATCAAAATCACCCACCTTTGGCTTGGTAAGATCACTTTCTGTCCATCAGGCCAACTGAGCTCTCTCTATGTTGTAGGTATGTGAAGATAATTTAATGACTGGTATTGTTGTTACATACCAAGTCAGAACCAACAGAGGGTTGACCCTACAGTGGGTTTTCAGAAACAATTAACTGCACAGGAAGAGACAGGCCATCTTTATCCCATGGAGCAGCTGGCAGATTTGGAGCATGTGCCTCTAGGCTGGCAGAGCAACTCCTTACTACTAAGCCACTAGAGCTCCATTTTAACTATAGGGCCAACATAATGGACAATATAATAGAAAACTCTTCTACTATAACATGCCAAGAAGTGCTAGTGAAAATTTACTAGAGTCATATAAATGCATAGTTGTACCCCAAGATAAAAAAGAAAATGGCAAAGGATCAAAAACAGGGTGAAGAGGCTTAGATTAAGAGACAAGAACCAGGTGGCAAACTGGAACTAGCAGAAAAAAAAGAGCAAGTGGGAAGCTGTCAGCTATTAAAACTAAGGGGAAGATCCAGTGTGAAAAATAGTGTATACGAACTTTATGAATTTTATAAGTAAACCAGTATAAAATAAAATTTAAAACAACAAACCCCAAGGGGCAAAAGTGTTTATGGCCATGTGGAGTGAGGAAATGAAGCCTAAACCTAAAATGAGGCAAAGGGTTGAAACTGAGATCCACAAAAAATAAAAAGGTGAAAGTAAAACTCCACTTACTGGCAGAGAGATATAAGGTTATCTGTGTTAGCTTTGGCTGTAAGACAGTGGCTGGTTTTATATTGATGGTCTGAGAATCCCTGAGCAGGAAGGAAAGAAAGGAAACATAGAACATGCAAGTTTACAGTGTGTGCTAAGCTTGAGGAAGAAAGGTATGAGATAACCCAAATGCCAAATCTGTGGCATTAACAGTAAAAGAATGTTAAAATTGCTCATAAAAAGGAAATAATGCCCTATTTAAAGAAAAGAGCCTGCAAACATTCAGTCTTTCTTACCTTTGATCTTCAGGCCTTGATTTCACCAGACTGTCTAAATAGGCCAAAAACTGGGCAGGGTTTTTATGACAAAGTTGCATGACATCAGAAGGCAAAATGGATGGGTAAAATCTGATTAAGGATCGAAGGGCAGATTCCCCAAACTTCTCATATAACCTGCATTTAAAAACATACACTTTAGTCTCTAACGGCTGCGAGACACTACAACTTGTTCTCACCTTTTAGAAATAGACTTATAAGGAAATCAGAAGTTTCTAAACATACAAATGAGTAAAAACTTAAGATTTAAAAAACAATGCATGTGCTTCAGCTCACATAAACAAGACACAGAACAACCTACTGAGCAGCAGAGGCAATCAGCAAAGGACTATCAAACGGCACTGAGTCTTCCAGTAACTTCAATCTTGTTGGCAGGTCTCCTTCTTCTATCGCCATATATGTAGGACTGGACCTTGCCATTTCTGAAAGGTAAAGCATCTCATTTTCCCATTCATCTCTTAGCTGTAAATATTCATTCAAGAATCATTAGTTATGTACCGAGTGTGTGCAAAACCTAAAGTCTTTTAAACACTCTTGCTGTTGGTTGCCACTGAGTGGAGTATGACTCACAGCAACTCCATGAACAACCGATGTGTGTGAGCCCTCTCCCACCCTGTGCCTTCTCACTATCATACACGCTTGAGCCTACTGCTGCAGTCACTATGTCAATCCACTTGGTTGAGGGTCTTCCTCTCCTTCACCATCTCTCCCATCTTTCCAAGTATGATGTCCCTCTCCAAGAATAGCCTCTCCATTGAAAAATGCTCAAAGTTTGTGAGATAAAGCTCTGCCTCCAAGGAGCACTCTGGCTACACCTTCTCCAAGACATATCTGTTTATTCTTTTGGCAGTTCATGAAGCATTGTAGGTGAGACAGAAAAGAACAAGATGCAATCTCAACCTTTAGGGAATTTAATACTTAAATTGTGAGGTAAAGCATATTAGAAGTTGTAAACAATACAAAAGAACAAATAATTGAAACACCTAAGCATCTGAGGAGGCTCACGAGTAAGACTGCTTGGAGGTCAGCACCCATAACTTCCATGTTATTCAAGCATCAACTATACTGATGAGATAAACGGCTCACACAGAGATGACAAACATGCCACAGGCCACATTAAGTGGATACTCCCAACATCTAAGCTCATCACAACAGCAACATAAAAAAGAATCCATCTGTATGTGGACTTGTGTAATTCAAACTCTTATTTTCAAAGGGTTAACTGTATAACCATGCCACCCTAAGTCTAAAATGTCTTTAAATTATCAAATACAAAAATGTATCCTCCCTCAAAAAAACCCCAAAACCAAATGTAACCCTACTTGTTTACTTTGCTCATGAACAACAGTATTTTAAAAGTCTAAAGGAGTTTCCAGAAACACGGCATTTGCCACTCAAGGGATTTTATTAGGAAGATTTACTTCTTTAAAAACATGGAATTGTGCAGTCTCTTCCCCAAAAGATTTACAGCCATGGAAATGGAGGGTAACCATGAGGTGAAATTGACTTGATGGTGGTGAGTTTGGTTTTTCAGTTTTTTGTTTTTGTTTTTTTTTAATTTTACTATTTGTGTGTACCGTCAAATCAGATCTGACTGGTACAGGAGGAGATTGTCCCTCCTTCCCCAGCAGAGCATCTGGTGGATTCGAACCATGCGCCTCTGGGATTGTAGTGCAGCTTCTTGCCACTAGGCCACCAGAGCTCCCCGGTTTTTCAGTTTTATGCAGAAAGAAAATGTATGGTCTTTGGGATATGGTAGCTGTTGTCTAGAGTAGAATAACAAACATTATGACCTTCCGTCAAGTCTTGGCAGAGATTGCTGGATGCCCACCAAAATCTCTGACAGACCTCTAAGCTTTTCACCTACGTCTGCTCTCTTCCTCCTGTACCCTTGGACAGGATACATTTCCTCGTCTCCTCCACAGTTAGGTATGACTATGTAGTAGAGAAGCAAAGATGTCGTCTAAACTTGGATAGATATACATAGGAATATGTTTTCCCCTTTTATGCTCTTTCTTCTGGACATACCAACCAGCCTCATAATAAGCACAGAGAGATGAAGAAGGTTTTGTGGTTCGTTTTTTTTTTAAAAAAAGGAAGATGCCTGGATCCTTAAATTACCAAGTGGTAAAAGTTGTCCACAAACCTGGGAAACGTGTGCCTTGAACTGTTTTATGAGCAAGAAACAAACTTTTTTAATGTCTAAGTAATTACATTCTAGCACTACTGTATCATTTTCTGAAACTAATAATAAACAATAAAACTTCTTGTAATATAGATACAAAGCAAAGCAAAATACTTAAATTGAGTTGAAATTAATGAAAGGTTGATTAGCAGAGGTGATTTTCTACTTAAATCTTTTTGAAGGCAGAAAAAATATATACATCTTTTTGAAACCCCAAAAAATTTAAGACGGCATTCCCAATTTCTACTCTTGGTAAAGCAGTATGATCATTACCTTTCAATCCACCAATGAAAGTATCCCAAACACATGAGCTGTTAGTGTAAGTAAGCTTGATACTCTCCTTTGCTCTTTTCAAGTCCAGAAGGAAAAAATACTTCTTTAGGAACTGACAAGCCAGAATGTCAAGAGAGCACTGCTGCATAATACGGTCCACATGTCCATTTGTACATTCACTTTTAGAATTCAGTACATTCAACTCTAAACACAATGTTGTTAACTCAGCCAGGTCATTCTGAAGGCCATTTGCGATGATGCCGGGAGAACATATTTGGAAAATGTCATCTGAGGGCTCCCCTGGACTATGTACAGACTCAGATGCTGGTTGATCGGCAGTTTTTTCATTGTCCACAGAGTCCCTTTTCTCTTTTTCACTACCATCATCTAATAATCCCTTTTTTGACTCCTTAAGCAATAGCACATCCTGGGTAGATTTCACAGAACAGTTGCTGGTTTCTGAAATGCCTGAAAAGTCCTTCACAACAAATGATTTTTCTAAGTGTAAAAGCCAATTCTGTAAAACCATTCTCAGGGACTTGGGTTCAAATAAGACCAGTGGGTCCTGCAGCATCATCCTATGCAAGAGAGACAAGCATCAAACTTATGTTTTACTTAAAATATTTCATACTAAGTGAATCCATGCAACATTCTTATCTGAAACACATAAGACTTATCAACTCTTTCAATAACAACTTTCAAAGCAAGATAACAATACAGAGAATGCTAATTTTATAGTATCTCACTAATTCTTAAATTTCAATTTCAATTTAGATGGCATCTAACCCAGACTATCTCAAGACTGCTACTGATGATCTCAAATAGTCATCTCTATTCATTATGAAACTTTTTCATGTATACTCACATTGCTTCTGCTGTTGCTACTTTAAGTTCTAGGAACCAGTCCTCTTCTGGAGGTTGACTAGTTACCTCTTTTTCCACCCTAGAAGATTATGAAAAAAGAAAAAGTATATTCACAATTGCCTTATATCATAGCTTTTCTAGACATATCTACATGCATAATCAGTGATTACTACCGTACTCGATTGTAAACGGGACAAAATGGTACATGAAATGAGTTTATAAAAAATAGTGCACAACTGTAAGAAAAGCAAGTTAAAGTGCAAGTAAACCAAGATAGAAAGAAACATATGCAAACAACTCAGTCTAATACATCAAGAATAAGATAAATGTTAAAGAGCAGCACAAAGACTGTGCTATGGAAGCATAAAATAAAGACTAATAATTCTGAGTAGGCAATCAAGGGAAGCTTTCCTGAGGTGGTGGTAATTTAGGAGAAAATGGTAGAATACTCCTGAGAGAACAAACAGAATGATAAAAGGTAGGGAGGTATCAGAGAACATCTCCAGTTCTCTGACAGGCTTAGAATGAAGACTGCTTAGAAGGATACGGTTGGAAATAAGGCTGGAAAGATGGGCTAAGATCAGACTAGGGCTGCTTGAAATGACATAATAAACTTACACTATAATAAACTATTTTCTTTCAAAGAAACATGGTATATTTGCTAAGTTATTCTAAGGATGATACATGTTATTGCTTCTTACTGTCTAAGTATCTTGGGTCCATTTGACTTTTTACCCATTTCTAGATGAACTTGTTTGCCTCTGTTACATACACTGCCTAAGCTATAACATACGGTCAAGACCAGGTGGACGGAACACTTCACACAGTGTTAACTCCATTGCATAAGGATCATGCTCTCCCAGTATACTATAACAAAAGACATGATAGGACATCAAAGCCAATGCTCACATTGTAAAGCCCACGGTCTATCAGTGGTTTACTCAAAGTCACATATTGGTCATATGCAATAAGACCCAAGTAGGCCCTAGATCATCCTACTCTACTACCTTTTCTCTGACATCTAGACATTTAAAGAATGAGAGAAGCTGTACAGGCCACAGATGGGAAAAGTGCTCTCTCAAAAAAAATCTGCTCAGGTGTGAGTGTAAAACGGAGCAATCATTATAGATGGCAGGACAGCGCTTTCATTTGACCCAGCAATTCCACTACTAGGAATATACCCTAAAGAAACCAGAGCTGCCACCCAAACAGAGAAGGGCACACCCACTTATATTGTCGTGTTATTCACAATGGCAAAATGATAGAAGCAACCCAAGTGCCCACCAACAAATGAATGGACAGAAAAATGATGGTATATTCACAAAATGGAATGTATGCAGCACTGAAAAACACGGAACTCATAAAGTATTACACAACATGGGTGATCCTTGAGGACATTATGCTGAATGAAATATCTGTCACAAAAGGACAAATGCTGTATAACCCCACTGTTATAAAACAGAATTGACATGGGGGCTAGGCGGAAACTATTAAGAGAAGAGGGGATAAATAATGAATATTGTATTGGAACACATGAAGGAAAAGAACTGTTAAAAAGAAATATATGATTATATGTATGACAACAGCCCAGAAATAAGAGGTATACTGCAAAGAGGACTAAGGGGAGGGGAAGCGAGGGGAGGAAAGTAATTGTGCAAAGATGAACAATTTTTTTTAAGTGAACTGGGGTAGGGGGAAAGGAGGGAGGGTGTAAAATGTGCATCAATGAATGAATGAATGAATGAAAATCTAACTTTTCTGTAAACTTTCAATAAAATCACATTTAAAATAAAAAATTTTATTTAAAAAAATTTGCTCAGAGTTTAAGTAATTTTTCCAACCTTTTGTGAGATTCACAATTTTTAAGAGGTGTGCAACCTTTAATGAACACAATAGTGTATACAACGACAGTTTATGGACTTCTTCAAACTGGCAGCTAACTCCTCTAGAATTGATACTGATTTCTACACAAAGGCTTACTCAGTGTCTTCTTCCTTTGGGCAGGTGCCTGGACTCACATCCTCTTCACATGACTTCTCATCAGCCCTGGCTTCTGGTCTCACTTTCAGGTCAGGACTTGTGTGAAGGGTGCCGATCTTCTCAGTAGTTTTACGCACAAAGCTAGAAACACTGGAAAGGAAAATACACTAAAATGAAAAATATCTCAGTTTTGTCAAGATAAAAAAAATCTGTACCTCAGTTCTCTAGGATCCTATGAGACCTAGGAAGGCAACCTGGACTTTATAAAATGAAAGATTGCTTAACGCAACTTCTCTAATCACAAATACCTATTACACACGGGCCATATAAAATTCACAATATTAACAATTCATTTCATTTACTAAGCTGTCATGAGAAACCAATGCAGTGCTAACGAAAAGGTCATCAGTAACAGCTGTGTTGATAATGTTTCTGTCAAGTTAAGAAAATAAGCCATGTGATCATCTGCCCTATCCTGGCCAGAAGATAACAAAGAATCTTTTCATAGAAACTCACTTGCTTACTAGTCACAGTACACCCTTCTTAACAAGAAAAAAATGTGTACAGTAAGCCTTAGAAAATCAGTTAAATATTAACACAATGTCTTCTCTTCCAAATTCAACTGCCAATCCTGGTACCAAGGGGTAGCTAAAAAGAAAATTTCTATGTTTGAAACCAAGTTGAGATAGTCCAAGAAATGACTAATGATATGTAGAAACTACTTCAATCAAGGATGAAGAAAAATCAGACTTCCAAGCTTTTACTCTGTTAACGGGAGAGGAAACCCACATTACAACAACTCAACTATTCATATGTTCAAAGACAGAAAGAAGATAAATTTTAAAAAAAAAAAGGAAGAAAGAAGATAAATTCCCCAAGATTAAAATAAAATTTAATAGCACCTGAATAAAATTAACTTAGAGAATTTCTTTCACTTATTTAAACTGTCTTTCCATCTTTGGCATAAATAACTTACTGAGACAAATGAATTAAAATATGAAATGTGAAGAAACAACAAGATCAATTGGTCTACCTTTTCTTGACAGCTTGAAGAGATGCAAGAGGAGATGGAGAACGAAATGATAATGGGATGCCAAAGGGGAGCAAAGGGTCATTCTTATCCGCTTCAAATGTCACTGAAAAAAAACAGGAGAAATAATGTCTAATGAGTGGAATCAAAGGAAAAAGAAAAAAAAAATCTAAGGCCATGAGAATTTTAAAAGAAATTCTGAAATGAATAAATTAAAGGAAATGAAGAATTTGATACCAAAAATCACAACAGACCGAGATACAAATGAGGAGAACAAAGGCTTACAGGATGCACGGGATGGTCCACAGAGAAAACACTGAGGCAAGTACCTTCATTTACCTACAAACCCTGTATCCCCATTAGCCAAAAAGGAAGTTTAGAGTCTTTATTAATCTCTTCTTAACAGTTCGGTCACAGGAAAACTTGAACATCGAAAAATGAAGGCAATGGCCTCCAAAACTGTAGTAATGTTTCATTCCTGATGGAAAATAATTTGGTCAGTCAGAATAATAATCTTTCCACTCTTTTGGTTAAGATCCCCTTTCTTAAACTTTGCAAAATTTTGAGGCATGATCAACATTAAGTACTGTACCAGTGTAGCCTAAACATGAGAGTGGGTTGGGAGAAAAAACAAATAAATTTTACTCTTCTAGTGGTGAGTCAATAGATAGGTTAGGATAAAAGGCCTATCAAATAAAGTACTAAAATTATTAACACCTTGCATACAATTCTATGTCCAAGATAACACTAACAATCAGAAGTCACAGGAAAGAACTGTCTTGCATCGGAAACCAACAAAAAACATGACCGTCACCTTCATTTCCAGGAAAGCCACCGTCCTGCTCTGGGTGATCCTCTTCCTGATGTGAGGTGAACTCTTTGAGTCTCTCATCTTCTGAGAGGGTCTGGCTGTGAAGGGAACAAGAGTCTTCATCTGACTGACTGCCTCGTCTACTACTAATGATACGATAAATACCAGAGTCCAAGATGCTGAAACTTTCCTAAAAAGAAAAAGAATCCCAAGAAGTCAAAATAAATATAGAGGCATAAAATTTACTCCCAGAGTACAAACAGTATCTTAGTGTGTCTTTAAATAAAATATGTAAGTAGTCTGAACAGATGCATAAAGGGCTCTTATTTATCAAGAAAAAGGAATTCAGGCTGTGGAGTGTATTATGTGCTCAGGGGCTAACCAACAGATGTTCCATGACAGAAAGATGAGCAGTCTCCTCTCCTAATGATCTACAGCCTTGGACACCTGATGGAGGGTGGCTATGAGTCAGAAACAACTCAGCAGTAGTAGGTTTTGGGTTTTGGATTCACACAGGAAATAAAGCCCTGGTGCTTAAAGCTCTCAGTGGTTAACACTTCAGTTAGAGCTGTAACTGAAAGGTCAGTCAAATTGACCTCTGCAGGACAAAGGTGTGGCAGTCAGCTATGAAGATTTATAGTGTTGGAAACCCGATGGGCTTACAGTTCCACTCAACTCTGAAGAGCAGCAAGAAGTTGGGATGAACCACTTGTTTGGGTCTGTTTGGGTTAGTGCAAGAAAAGGTTCAAAGTTTTCTCAACAATTAAAAGTCTTTATATGCAACAAATGAAGGTGACTGATGAATTGTTTCAAGCAGGGTTGGTTCAATCATTTCAAAGTGAAGGGAAATTTATATAACATTAAAGGGTGTAAGTTATCATTAAGTCAAGTACTTAGAACCTGGAGACTTAGTATATGACACAAGATAACCTTTATTTTTCCTTTTTTTTTATATTGGTTTGCTCACAAAGTTTGTACACACTGTGTTTCACACTATTATTCTTCATTAATATTGTATTCCCATACATTATGTTTTATAAAATCAATCACCATTGGACCTTACCCATCATTACCCAATATTTTCAGGTCCCTGCCAGAGACTTCTATTTCCTTCACACTCAACAATATAGCCTTTTAAGAAAAATACCAATAGTGAAATAGAAAGTTGGTAACAATAATTATGACTAACAGATTACATTGGTGAGCAAGGTTTTGATTGTTTGCATCTGGGATACTCTGATTTGCTGACAGCATCATGCTGATTTCTTTACCTTCAAAAAGCCTGACAGACTGGGGAATAAATGTGACAATCCTGAGCTGTACTGACTTGCACTGATACACATCTGAAATCACATATTAGGAGCAATTTATGCTGAAGGCCTTGTAAGGTCTTAAATGCATTTTTGAACAGAAATGCATTGGGAACAGAAAATAATAACAAAAAATAAACAATTACAAAAGAAAAATGTAGCTCTAAGACATAGCTAGCCAAAGGGCTGTCCAACAGCTAGATGAAAGAAAGAATCCAAAAATCTGTTACACAGAAAAGCAGCTAAATCTGGGGTGTTTTAGAGGTAAATAAGGAGCCCTGGTGACAGACATTGAAGCATTTAGCTGCTAATCAAAAGGTAAGCATAAGCCAATAGCTGCTTCTTGCAGCCTTGGAAACCCTTTGAACAGTTCTACTCAGTGGGGTCATTTTGAGTTAGAAATCAATAGCAATGAGTTTTGGGTTCTTTTGGTTTGGAGAGATGACTACAACCTAATGTGGAAAACATCGTATTTTAGAGTGAAATCCTTTTAAAAACAGAGACCACTTACATGTGATGAAATGGAACTTCTTCTACTACTGCAAGCTGAATCCAGAGGTTCTAATTTTAAGATCAAGTCTTCCAGTTGAGAAATTAGATCACTGCTGCTTGAGAGATCCAACTGAGATTTCAAATGTTCCAATTTATCTGCTGTCAAAGTTTTTCTTGCCTTATGAAAGAGACATATAAATACCCATGGATACAGTTGGTAATGGAATAGCTTACTGTCTTCAATTAAATCTAGATTCAAAAGCAAATTTATAAGAGTTTTAACACTGAATTTGTACCTCAAAGTACTTTAAAAAGCGTAACAAATTGGTGAAAGACCTAATGAGAATTATCTTAGGAATTAAGAATTTAATTAAAAATAACCATACATACATATAATCAGCCTCCTTAAAACAAGGTCTGAAATTCTGGGGACCTCTGGTGGCCTAGTGGCAAGAAGCTGCATTGAAATACCAGAGATATGTGGTTCGAATCCACCAGATGATCTGCTGAACAAGGAAGAGGCATCTCCTCCTGTACCAGTCAGATCTGATAGTGTACACACACACACACACACACACACACACACACACACACACACAAAATAATAAATATTAAAAGAACAAAACAAAACAAAAAAAACAAGGTCTGAAATTCAAATGAATTTATGAGTATATTGGATATTATTTTTTAAAAAATGTAAATTATACCCTTATTTTTACCCGTCCTTAGAAATACTTCTATCATGTTTTCTTTAGGGATTTATTGTTGCTTTATTTGTAGGCCATACAGAAATAAAATTAATAGTGAAAAACAATTTTATAATACAATTTCGCAAGATAAGACAGCAATTAACAAGCCACGAGAAGTATATTTAATGAAGCTCTTGGACTTACTCTGCTAGCAATAATAGAATTTTGGAAAAGACAGCAAGTATGAGCAGCCAGGTTCCACAGGCCTCTCCTCAGCAGGCGTTCCACACAGCGTTCCACAGATAACAGGGAAAGATGTGAGACTTTCCCGTTGAGGTGCAAACAGAACAGCTCACTCTTGCAGATAGCTACATCCTGAATATCTGTAAGACCCACAGAGGTGATGCTGGATGCTAGCCAAATGTTCTGTTCTCATTTTTGCAACAATGACTCTAAAAATTTAGAATAATTCTAGATTTGAGAAGCCAAGCTAGAATTTTATAATTCTAGTTTGACTGAATTCCATCTCTCTCTTTATATTTGCATTTCAACAAAGATATGGAAAAAACAATCACATCTCTCTGATTTAATAATCTTATGTTTAAAATGTCATTTTCTGTGAAAATAAACTAGGACTTTATAATAGGGCAATCTATATTAGAGGTCAGAATATAATATTTCTAATAGCTAGAATCTGACAGTCAATAAATAGAAGTAAACAACATTGCATGTAAATCAATAAACAGCACATAACAAAGTATCTTTTTAGGCAGAGTATCTTGAAAGGACTTAAAAAACAAACTGGAAAAAATAATTTTCAAAGTCTATTTTTAGAAACGTGAGTCACAAGAAATAAATGTTTATCAGATCAGTAAGTAATGGCTTGTTTCTCCATATTCACTAACTTCTTATTGTTGTTGTTATTAGGTGCCATCAAGTCGAGTATGACTCATAGTGACCCTATGAACAAAAGATCTGAATCTAGTCCAGTCCTGCCCTGCACCATCCTCACACTTCCTGACACACCAGGGCCCATTGCAGCAGTCACTGTATCGATCCACCTGGTTGAAGGTCTTCTCCTTCACCAACCCTCCACCTTTCCCAACATCATGTCCCTCTCCAAGGAACAGCATCTCCTAGCAGTATGTCCAAAGTATGTGTGGCAAAGCCTCATCTTCTTGCCTCCAAAGAGCACTCTGGCTGCACCCTCTCTAAGACATATCTATTTGTTCTCTTGACTGTCCATGGGATGTTCAGTGTTCTTCTCCAACACCACAGCTCAAAGATGTCAATTCTTTTTCTGTCATCCTCATTCATTGGCCAGGTTCTTGGATGCATAGCAATTAAGTGGAAAGTCTATGGCCTGAATCAGACACAGCTTAGTCCTCAAACTTACATCACTACTCCTTAATAATTTGGACAGATCCCTAACTGCAGATTTTCCCAGTGCAATGTGTCTCCTTTGATTTGATCACTCATATCAACGGTGTTAATTGTGGATCCAGGCAAGATAAAGATGTTGACAGTTTTCCATCTCCTCTCTATCCCTCATGACACTGCCTATTGGTCCAGTGGTGAGAATCTCTGTTTTCTTGATATTCACACATAATCCATACTGAAGGCTGCATTCCTTGATCTTCTGCAACAAGTGCTTCAAGTCCTCCTCACTTTCGGCAAATAAGGTTGTATCACCTGCATAATGTGGGTTATTGATGCATCTCCCTCCAATTCTGATACCACATTCCTCTTCATAGAGTACAGCTTCTAGGATAATTTGCTCAGCATATAGACTGAACAGGAATGGAGAGAGAATACATTTCTGACACATTCCCAATCTAATTCCAAACCATGAAGTGCTCCCCTACTCCCTTCACCCAACAGCCTCCTGATCAAGGTATAGGTTCCTTATGAGCACAATCAAAATTTCCTGGCATAGACTGGTGAGTGCATCCAAGGCTGCACCTGTTAACTGAAACAAGCCAATTGGTATCCCAGCAATTCCTGGGGCCTTATTTTTTGCCAGTACCTTCAATGCAGTTTCCACTTCCTCTTTCATTACCACTGGCTCCTGTTCATATGGTACTTCCTGAAATTTTTCAGTGTCAATCTTTCTGGTACTCTGTGTATTCCTTCCATCTTCTTTTGATGCTTTCAGGGTCACTCAATATATTGTCCATAGCTTCTTACAACACTGTGACACTTGGCTTAAATTTGTTTTTTAGTTCTTTGAACTTGAGATATGCAGAGTGAGTTCTTCACTTTTTATTCTCCAATTCCAGTTTTCTACACATTCCATTATAATACTTTGCTTTTTCTTCCCAAGGTGCCCTTTGAAATCATCTGTACAGCTCTTTCACTTCAACATGTTTTCCTTCAGATTTGCCTTCTCAACATTCTAGTACAATATTTAAGAGTCTCCTTTGACATTCATTTCACTTTTTCTTTTCTCTTCTGTTTTGTAATGACCTTTTGCTTTCTTCATAGTTGATATCCTTGATATCATCCCATAACTCATCTGGTCTTCCTTCCTTCTTTCATTCTTAAGATGATCATGAAATTCCAATGGAATTGATTCAAGAGCATATTTTTGTTCCTGTTTCATTTTCTTTGACCTCAATTTGAACTTGTATATGAGTAACTGATGATCTGACCCTGACCTAGTTTTGACTGCTGATACTGAGCTTTTCCAATGGTTTCTTCCACAAATATAGGCAATCTTATTTTAAGTGAATGACAAAAAAGTCAAGACAGACAGTCTATTGAGCAGCACTGCTAAAAGAAGTGCTACATTCCACATTTCTAATTTTAACACCAAAAACAGACACAGTCATTTTGTCTGTGTCAGCTATTCTCGTGTAATAGTTTTCAAGTTTAAAGATTAGATAAGCATGTTAATTTTGGCCTTTTTTAAGGGCTAATTTTAAATATTTTCATTTATTAACAAAGTAAGAGACTGGCTCATTACTTTAAAAAAAAATCACTGGTGGATATCTTGCTCCTTTAAAAACCATCCAAATGAGACCAAATGGTCAACATTTACCCCAAAACAAAGATGAGCTGCAAACAGAATAACCAGAACAGAAATAGCAAAGTTGATGAAGCATGAAAATGTAATTAACATCATTGAACAAACTGTGAAACTGTTCAATGGGAACTTCATTTGGTATGTAAACATCTACCAAAAACACAATAAAATATTTTTATTTAAAGATACAGGTGACAACAAATTTACAAGAATGTGCTTACGAAGTACCTGACAATGTTATTGTTTGTTGTTATGTAGCATCAAGTCAGAACTGACTCATAATTGACCCCATAGTGGGTTTTCAGAGGCAGTAAATCACATGGGAGTTAACTGCCCAACTTTCTCTTGCACACCAGCACGGCAGCTGGTGGATTTGAACCTTCTGGCTGGCAGTGAAGTTATTCACCTAATACTTGAGACTTTGGTCCTTAAAAGAAATTTTACTCCATGTTTTTTTCTACTATTTACCCTACAAGAGCAAGTAATTGCAAAGACCATGGCCTGGATCAGGCACACCTTAGTCTCTAGACTGAAATTGTTGCTTCTCAGTACTCTGGAGAGGTCCTTGACAGTAGATTTTCCCAGTGCAATTCATCTTTTTGGTTTCCTGACTGCTGGTGCCAAGAGTGCTGATTGTGGAGACAAGCAATCTGTTCATTGTTAACACTTTCAATCCTCCAAGAAAACAAATAGGGTCTGTCTGGAGAAGGTAAAACCAAATTTCTTTAAGCTCCATCTCACAAACTTTGGGCACATGGCCAGGAGGGACCGGTCCTTAGAGAAGAACATCATACTGGGAAGGGTGGAGGGACAGTGCAGGAGAGAAAGACTCCAGATGAGAGGGATTGATACAGTATTCAGAGCAAGGGGGCTAGGTGTGTCAAAGTCAGTGACACTGGTTCAGGACAAGAAAGGCTTCAGAGCTGTTGTACAAAGAGTTGTTATCAGTCACAGATGACTAGACAGCATATAACAATCACAACAACAACCCTGCATGAAGTAGAGTTAAGAAGAAGACCCTCAACCAAGTAGATAGATAAGAGTGACTGTAGCAATGGGCTTGAGGGAGTTGGAAACTGTGATGATGACACAGGACAGGACAGGGTTCAAATCTATTGTTCATAGGATTGTTATGAGTTGTACTTGACTAGATGGCAATGAATAACAACAATCCTGGAAGAGAATCTTCCTACAATAATTAAGTCGTCCGTAAGAAAGAGGTTAAAAAGTACATATAATCAAAACCCATAATCACCTTTGACTTCACTCCAAAGAAGAACTTGAACATTCTGAGGAATGAAAATGTAAATTCCTCTCTCTGTCCAAGTCAGCACACAATGCTCACTGGAAGAGAAAACGTAAGAAACAAAGAGATGTACAGTCATTCCCTGAATTCAGATTTTTACACTATTAAAGTAAATCCAGACTGTATTAAAAGAAAAACAAAATCCCACAATAATGATCCAGCTAATCAAGTGTCGGCATACTTTTTCTGTCTATAACAACTTATTAAAAAACAACAGCATGAAATAATTCTAAATTGGAGAGAAGGAGGATATCAGACACCTACTAAATAGCTTCTAAAAAAAAAAAAGAAAAACCTAGTATCTGGAAAGGCATAGAGGTAACATATCTGATGTTTGATAAAGCAGGTAAATTTCCCATATTTGGTAAGATGAACGCACATTTAAAACAAAGGCTAAGCACAATGTCTTACTGCCATACAGCTATATATCACAACTTTCGTGAGTTTTTAGAGATGGTAATATTTTGATTTCTTAGTTATTATACACATGGGTGACAGAAAACTCTCAGTTGACCATGTGCCAGAAGTTTAAGGGCATTGCCTGGCAGAGAGATGAAGCCATAAGACCAAAACTATTTTACATGAATGTAGAGTTTTTTCCAAGGGCAGTCTAGCTCCAAAATAACAGGCTCTTTCCTCTAGTATCTCACAGAATCTATTTCCTTCATCATTTGTCCTCACCAACTAGCTCACTATTATCTGGAATTCTGACTATCCCACCAAACTGCATTCTCAAAAACTTACTGTCAAACACAGCCCTTCCTTATTTCTTCTTGCCCCAAGCAGGCATTGACCTTGGTGACTGTTTTCCTTCCTGAATTTCATCTCCCCAGACTGAGTCTTTGTATATTCTTGGTTTTCTACCTTCCTCTTCAGTCCTTCTCTTTCTACTCTTTATCTCTGCTCATCTCTTTCTATATTCTAGTCTTCATATATTTAATTTACTCTCATAAAACTGCTATTAACACCCATATTTAAGAAACTGCCAAATGCTCTATCACCTGATCTTCAACATCCATGCAGGACCCTTCTATAATCTTCCTATCCAGATTATATCCTTTGCACCCTGAATTAAACCAAACTCAACTTTCCAACAGCTTATCTTCCTCCTTTTGTTTCCCTCCCCCCTTTTTCCCCCTTTCTTTTTTTGTAAAGGTTTCCAAAAGATCCCAATGTGTACACACTTCTAAATTTGATCACTCTCCAATGTGGTCTCACAGTAGACCCTTCCTCTTTATTCCCCGTCTCTAGACCCCACAGGTTCTCATTACTTCTGCCTCCTAGCACCAGTTTTCTCACCTTCAGACATCAAAGAGTGATTGTGTATACTGAAATCACAGGTCAATCATGATTGCCTCTTCCTCAACTCTCCTGGACTTTTGAGCTCTCCTCATCACAGCTTTGATTTACTCTCCCTACTTCATCTCACACTGCTCCCTTTCAAAAATTCTCAGTTTCACAAAACTTTGACGTATTCCCTGAATATGCCACTGGCAATTTCCCCCAATCAAGGCATTCTTCCACTTGTAATTCCAGCCACTGCAGAAACTCTACTGTCCTTAGAAATTCTCTCCATACCCTAAAGGAACCTCTCCTCCTCTTATATTCTGACTGCTCTGGTCAACACTGATCATCTGACAACTACACACTTTGTTGTATTGTCAAAATCTTTATTTGGTGGTATTAATTTTTTTCAGGTCTGTTGTTTTGCTTTTTTTAGTATTTTTTTCCTATTCATTCATTGTTGCATTTTCCTCAGTGCCCACTCCTCCTCCAAGTTCTCTTTTCTCTTTGAAAAAAGAAAAAAAAATTTTCATTGTCATACAATGCCCCCCCCCAGTCCACTTTACTATGCAGCTCTTCTTCTGGACTCTTGTCATGCAAATAATACCTAATCATACATTCCTTTTAAACAGTTCTCTCCCTCTTTTGTTTCAATGTAGTGTGCACATCATTTATCCCCTCTCAGTTTCCCCCCACCCCGATGTCAGTCCTCTTTTATAACAATGGCATTATGCACTTTTTGTCCTTTTGTGGCTGAGTATTTCACTCAGCATAATGTCCTCCTGGGTCACCATTTTGCATATTTCCTGAGTTCCTTGTTTTTCAATTCTGTATAGTATTTCATTGTATGATTATACCAGAGATTCTCTATTGATTCATTTGTTGATGGTCACTTGGTTTGTTCCCAACTCTTTGCTACCATCAACAAAGCAGCAATTAACATAGTGTGCATATATCTGCTTGGGTAGCACTTCTGGTTTCTTTAGGCTATATTCCCAGTAGTAGAACTGCTGGGTCAAATGGTATTTCTATTTCCAACTTTTTGAGAAAGCGCCATACTGCCTTCCAGAATGGTTGCAGCAGTTTACACTCTCAACAACAGTGAATAAAGGTTCCAGTTTCTCCACAAACTCACAAGCATTTGTTGTTGTTGTTTTTTTATAGAAATAAACTATATCTCAGTGAGTTCTGGTGACCTAGTGGCAAGAAGCTGCACTGCAACCCCAGGGGTGTGCAGTCGGAATTCACCAGATGCTCTGCTGGAGAAGGAGAGACAATCTCCTCCTATACTAATCAGATCTGATTTGATGGTACATACAAAAAATAATAAACTTTTTTTTTAAAAAGTCAAAAGAAATAAGCTATATCTCCTCAACAAAATCACAATCTTAAAAATACATCAGTTTTTCTTGCCTTTTATGTCTCCAACAGTACCAAAATTGGCATCATATGGCTATCAGAAGTGATATGTACTAGAATTGGGCCTCATGTAAATATTAAGTACTTTGTCAGTATGAATGAGCAGATTGTTGGCCTACAAGAAAATAGTCTTTCTCATAAGAAGAAAAGAAAAGGTCAGAATCATAGCCAAAAGTTCAAGTGGAATAAGGAGTGCTGCTTTCAAGAGGAATACAAGCCAAAAAGGAATAGTCAGAGTTGTCTGAGTAAGGAGATACAGGATCATAGGACTATTATAAAAAGCTAAAGAAAGGTTTGCACATTGTCTCTTGGATAGTTAACAGGAATGGTAAATGAGGCAAAGGAGAGTAAAAATTAATAAACAGACTAAGTTGGATCAAGGGAATGGCAATATACAATAAAGAGTTCATTAGATATAAACTTAATAAACTACTTAATTGTAATTAGTGATATAAAGCAAAATCTCTATGAATGACTGAATGAAAAACCAATATGCTTTTAATTTCTTTTTTTAATTGAGATTTTAATGAAAGTGTATAGAGAACTTGGCTTTTCTTTTTTTAATTTTTTATTATTTTAATTTATTACCTTTTGTGTGTGTACCGTTAAATCAAATCTGACAAGTACAGGAGGAGATTACCCCTCCTTCCCCAGCAGAGCATCTGGTGGATTTGAACCACACACTTCTGGGATTGCAATGAAGCTTCTTGCCACTAAGCCACCAGAGCTCCCGAAAAACCAATATGCTTTGTAAACTTTCACACACAAAAAGAGATAAAAAATAAATAAACAGTAACAAAAAGATACAGGTGTTATATGAAAGGACTCCCCTTAACAAGGGTGGCAGAGGCCCACCGGCCTTACAACATCCATCTGGTTAAGGCATTGCCATCTACTTTGTGGCACCTAATCACTGTTTTTAGAAATCAATAGGACAGCAGAAATTAATGGGGGTCTAGGGATTGAAGGAACAGGTAAAATGCAATAGAGACTTGAGAAGACAGAGATAAAAGCAACAGATTAATAGTAATTAATTATATAAAACACAATGTAGAGAAGTGGTTATATAAAACAAAAATATGTGAATGAAACAATGTGTATGAATGGTTGTATAAATCATGTTAAAAGGAAATTAAAAAAAGAGATACAACATGGCAACTTTGTAACTAAAGTTGATATTGAGTTTGGTACTTTAGGTGGAACCATCTAGATTAAATGGGGGAGGAGCTTAGGTAAGAGCTGATAAGTTTATAATATATACATCCTTCACAACCACTGGGGAGAAAGACTTATAGCCTCTGAAAACCCACAGGAGGGTCAGTTATGAGCCTATTCTGACTAAACGGCAACAAGCTTTGAGAAAAAACTGGTAATAAATAGAGACAGAGACAAAATCTAGTATATCATTTCAAAAAATCAAGGAAGCAAAAACTGATCTTTGTGTGTCTGAAACAAAACAAAATATATATAGGTGTCCCTTATGGAATCTGGGAGTGGTTACAATAAAGGTTATTATAGATACAAACATGCAAGGGGCTTTCTAAAAAGCAAATCGAATAAAAGTCATCCTATTCATGTTTCATTTAAGAAAATTAAAACTTTGCTGAATTCATTAGTTTCACTAATATTTGAGTCTTTTATGTGCCTGGCACTATTATAAACTGGCCCTGGGACAGATGGTCACAATACAGTAAGATGGTGGTGAGGTTCGAGGAGAGAACAAGGAGTAACAACAGCTTGTAGGAACAAATATCTAAGAATGCTGGAGCACTGAAAAATGTCAAAGTGGCATTAATTATTTTTTTTCAGCTAAGAAACAGGCAAAGCAAGATCTTGAAAGACTTTGCTTTCTCCCCAGCAAAGACTGTAAAAAGAGGTTTAAAGAGCTTAATCTAAAGTAGTAACTACCAGGAGAGCCATGGAAACTACAACCTAACCATTAGAAAACAACCCTGGGCTAGTGACTTTCACATCCCACCCATGACACACAAACAATACATATTACCTATCATAAGCCCGGTACTATACAATGAGATTATATAACAGTGAGCAAAAGATAGATAGATAGATAGATAGATAGATAGATAGATAGATAGATAGATAGATAGATAGATTGATAGATAGATAAGAGAGAGATATATATATGAAACTAAAAGATAACTATGTAAGTGGGAGAATATACCAGGCTCATGGGTAGGAAGATTTAGCATTGTGAAAATGTCAGTATTATCCAAAGTGATAGTTACAACGCATCCCAATCCAGAGTCCATAAACATTCTTTTTTTATTTTATCAAGTCCCCTTTGCAACTTGCCTATTCCTTCAGTGCCCCATCTAAGCACTCAACTCTCCTGTCCTAGTGATCTACCTCAACCACTTTCTCCCATTCTTCTTTTGAAGTTATATGTATTTTGTTTTTTTATGATAATTCCAATAGCCTTATTGTCCTTATCTCAATTCTTCTCAGAGTGATTCTCCCTCAATATTCTTTAAGTAGATGGGAAAACCAATTACTAACTTTATATGGGAAGAAAAAGAAACCATGAGCAAAACACTACTGACAAAAAGAACAAAGTAGGTCTAACACTACCCAATTTTAGCACCTGTTGTATATAGAACTGGTGGAACCCCCAGGAATAGCCTTTAAGACACCTTTCAAACCTAGAATTAAACCCACCTTGGGGGGTTATGTTTTGACCAAAAAATAGACAAGCCAATAAAGTGAATAATAACACTCATGAGGAATGCATTCTTCAGAATAATTACCTATACAAAATAAAAAAGACAAGGTTTGCCCAAAAACAAAATTCAGAAAGTCGAAAGGGACAGGAAAGGACAAATGGAAGTGAAAAACTTAAGGATGAAGCAGGAAGAGTGCTGTTCCATTGATGGTACAGCAACCAATGTCATGAAACAAAATATGCATGATATGTCGAACAGAAAGTTAATTTGCTTATAAATTTTCAATTAACACTCACACAAAAATGATATGAAGATTGAACACAGAAATTGCATGAGAGTTTCCACCCTTACTTAATAAGGTATTTGAAATGGCAAACTCAGCAGTTGACAGCCATCATATGATCCATTACTTAGTACCAGATATTGCTACTTAATCTAACTCAAAAGTTAGTTAAACCATGATGCTAGAATATGGTGGTCTCTGCCCCAGTTGGATCATTCATTAGGGTGCCTGTCAAGAGGAATTAAGGACAGAGAGCTGAAATTTCATTAGCTTATAAGACTAAATTACACAACTATTTTTGTGCCTCTTTATTAATAATACAGATATCTCAATCTAAGATCTGTTTTCATTGTATTATCCTACCAGATAGGAGGGGTTGTGAGGGAAAAATACTTATAGCTCTAACCCCCAATGTTAAAAGCTTCTGACAACTTCATACTTCCCAATTAGCTAAAATCATTTTGAAGTAGAAAGGGAAGCACATTTCCAGGGTCTTTCTATTCCTCTTCATGCAGAACACTTCCTATAACATAGTCATTTCCAATATTACAAAGTTAATTGTCTCTAAAAAAGAAACAGAAAAAGTGACCATATGTTTTATAACTAACACACCCACACTTATATAAAGTGTAGAAATGATGAAATTAAGTAAAATGTTTCTGGAATAAGTATTGTTTGTATAGAGATAAGTTGTGTTGTTTGGGGCATAGGGAAAAACTTACCTAAGATGCAAGAGTTTTGGGAAACACAAAGACTGAGGGGACCCAACCGTCTGATCATACTGAGGTTCTGATCTAGGAATTAAATATTTTTGTTAATGATTTAATTACAACATAAAATAGATTTTCTCTATTAGACAACAAAATTTTGCCTCCAAAAAAAACTCAATTCATTTTAATCATAAGAATGGTAACTGATTAAAAATAGTTTTTAGTTTCTCTGTTTAATATAAATTCTATCTTACATTTAAAGGCGTAATAAAACACATCTATCTATCTATCTATCTATCTCTATATATATATCTATAAAATACTGGCGGTTTCAACCCAAACACTTCAATAAGTTCCTCAAATAATTCTAGCCAGTCACACAGTCACCTTAGATTAATGACAGGGAGAGGTGGTGATGTGAGGAGTTTCTTGAATTGATGTGTACTTATAACATCCCCATCGAAGTTCACTTCCCACATCCTGGAGCCAGGGCGAGCACAATAGATCAGGGGCTGCTGAGTCCCAGAACATCTTCCAGGGAAGAAACAAGCTCCATATTCTCCATCTCTTTCCTTATTTCCAATTTTCCAAAACTTCTCCCTAATACCCAAAAATTTATAGAAAGCATGTTAATTTACAAAAATGTGAAAAATCACCATTAGAATCAGTATGGCCTTAACAACTCCCACCACAGTGCCCACTCCTCCATCTGTGTTATGGGAAACTACCCTGGGAAGGTCAAAAGCAGGTTCAGGCTCTGATTTGCCATTAACCACCTGTGGCTGGAAGGAAAACATTCTACACTAGTATTCTGTTTATTGTTGCTCCTGTGTGCATTCCAGTCTGAACTGACCCATAGCTGATCTTCCAATGGCTTTTCAGAGGCCATACATCCCAGGGGAGATTACCACAGCTCATAAATAAGGCCTCTTTTTTCCTTCCTTCACAATTGAAGGCCTCTTTAGAATTGAAAAAGTTGGTCCTACCAACTCATTCACACATTCTTGAATCCTACCCTCCCCAAGTCATCTTGTAAAATGTTCTTTGCACATTCCATAGAGGTTTTTATTGTCTATTTTCAACCCTGTTTGCAAGTCACTCCCTTACTACAAACCCACACTTAACCCGTTTCTTTGAAATGCCAGTCCCTTTTGAAACTCTGTACCTTGGAACCCTGTTCCTTTAGAATTATCTAAGATAGATACAGATAAAAAAAAAAAGATAGATACAGATAATAACTTAGCACACTTCCTACAATATAGAAAGTAATGACAGGGTTGAGGAATGATACTCTTTCAAAAAACTACTGCAATGCATTATTTTCGTTGTCAGTGGATAAAGTAAATTTTCTATTAGCATATTACAGTTAATAACAGGAAAATCAAATAAATGCACAAATAATTACTGAAATATCAGCAAGCACTGTGATTAAATAGTAAAAGTACCATTTTACTTTTATTTAGTCATTCTGTATACAGGAAATAGTTTGACCTTTCCAGTCAAACTATGTGCTTATTCTTTTTGGTATTCTGTTGTTGTTAGATGCCTTCAAGTCATGTATAACTCACAGTGACTCTAGGAACAAGAGAACTGAACCACTTGAGCCCACTGCAGCAGTCACTATATCACTATCAATCCATCTCACTGAGGGTCTTCCTCTCTTTTGCTGACCCTCCACTTTTCCAAGCACAATATCCCTTTCTAAGGTGTCCAAAAGAGCACAGAGATATATGTCTTGGAAAAAGTGCAGCCAGAAAGCTCCTTAGAAGATGACAAAGCTTCCTTTTTCATACTTTGGCCATGTAGCTTGGTAAGGATATTCGTTGGAAAAAGACATTATGCTTGGAAAGATGGAGGGTCAACAAAGGAGAGGAAGACCCCAATGAGAAGGACTGACACAGTGACTTCAACAATGGGGCTAGTATGTCAGAGTGGATGATGATAACACAGGATAGTGCAGGGTTCAGGTTCACTGTTCATAGGGTTGCTATGAATCATACTCTACATGATGGCATCTAGCAACAACAATAATATGCCCCAAGTATGTGAAACAAAGCTTTATCATCACTGCCTATAAGCTCTATGGTTGCACTTTCTCCAAGATGTTTGTTCTTCTGGCTGTCTATGGGACATTCAGTATCCTTTTCCAACAGCACAACTCAAAGGCGTTGATTCGTCTTCTGTCATCCTTATTCACTGTTCCATTGCTCAAGGTAAGTATTTTTTCCTTAATTAAGCTAAATTTGTTTGGCTTTAAAAGGTTTACATTTGTCTAAAAGTGTAAAGATTTAAAAATAAAAAAGATTATTTTAAGAAAATAGTTGCAGGGTTTCTTCCAACTTTCATGGCTCCAGGAAGTTTAAAATCCCTAAGAATTATAAATTGTTATGCACTTCCCCTTTTTTGATCAGAATATTCTTCTGTAGAATCTTTAATCAGAAATGTTTAGCAATTATAACAGGGCATCCAATTTTTCTGGTTTCATGACAAAGAAGGCAAACGGTTCTACAGGCAATCAGCCACATATTCCATAATCTCCTATTTCTACTTTATCTTCTTCTGTTGCTTCAGGTGAAAACAATGAACTACAAGGTGGAACAGAAGTTCTAACCATTTCATTAGGCCAATTAACTGAGATGTCCAATGAAAGTACTCTAAACCTCCAAACCAAGAAACCAGATCTCATGGCATTTTTGTTTGTAGCCTTTCTAGTTTATTTTTATTTTCTAATTGTGAATATATCGGTAACATTTCTATCAATGAAACTTTTTATAGGTTTACAATTTATTGGCAAAATTACAATAATCAGCTGTGAAACTCTACCCTGAAAAATGCATTATTTCCATCATTCCTAACTCCCTCTTCTCCAACTTCTCCCTCTTCTCACCCCTGCTAGCCTATAATAAACACTGTTCTCTAGATAGTTGCTATGTACCACAAAGTCAGAACCTGCTCATAGCTGACCCTTCAGAGGCTCCTGGTAGCCACTAATAAACACTATTCTCTATGTTGTTGTTATGTACTATATAGGTGGAATCTACTCGCAGCTGACCTCTATTGAGGAGACTGATCATCTTTTCTCCTGTGGTATGGCTGGTGCATTTGAACCAAGTCCCTTTGGGTTGGCAGCATATCTCCTCACAGCTAGGCTACCAAAGCTCCCTTTATTAGTGGGACTGAATTGTGCTGTCAATCCAAAGGCATGCAGTTAGAATCAGTTAGAAAAATGGGCAATTAACTCCCATGTGATCTACTGCCTCTGAAAACCTGTCGAAGGATCAGCTGAGTTGGTCCCCAACTATATGGTACCTCGCTATGGCTTTAATTTGCAACTTCATTATAGTTAATGATGTACAGTATTTTTTCATGTGTTTGCTGGCTCTGTACTAAAATGTCTATTCAAGTCCTTTGCCTATCATCTATTTATTCTTATGATTTAGCTACATCAGTTTCTCCTCTTTGAACTTCCCTGACTTTAAAAAGCTGAATCATAAGCTTCCTGTGCAATGATTTCACAGTTGTTAGCATATAATATATAACAGTTGTATCAGGTCTATCTATTTGAAACATATTAAGACATTCTTCAGGACAAATGCTGTTTCTTCTTTAACTTGACCTGCAATCCTAATATATAGGACAATGTCTGGCCCACAGAAAGCATACTGCAATGCTCCATATATTCAATCTATTTTACTGGGCAATACTCTATGCTGTTAGGTACTTTTTGTTGTTGTTAGGTGCCATCTAGTGCAACTCTCTGAACAACAGATCTGAACTCTGTCCTATCGTGTGCCGTCTTCACACTTCCTGACACATTAGAGCCCACTGTGGCAGTCATCATGTCAATCCACCTGGTCGAGGTTTTTTCTCTCCTTTGCCAACCCTCTACCTTTCTGAGTATCATGTCCCTCTGCAAGGAATAGTTAAGTATGTGAGGTGAAGTCTCATCACCTTTGCCTCCAAAGAGCATTCTGGCTGCACCTTCTCCAAGACAAATCTGTTTGCTCTTTTGACAGTCCATGGATGTTCAGTGTTATTCTCCAACACCACAGTTCAAATGTATCAATTCTTCTTTAGTTATCATCCAGCTCTCAGATGCATAACAGGTGATCAGAAAGACCATGGCCTGAATCAGACACACCTTATTCCTCAAACTGGCATCATTACGCCTTACTAATTTAGAGAGGTCCCTAACCTGCAGACTTTCCTAGTGCAACATGTCTCCTGATTACCTGACTGATGGTACCAAGGGTGTTAACTGTGGATCCAAGTAAGATGAAGTTGACAGTTTCAATCTTTCCCCATCTACAGTCCTATAGTAAGAACCTTTGTTTTCTTTGCAATCCATATGTAAGACTGTATTCTTTTAACTTCTGCAACACATACTTCAATTCCTCCTCACTTTCAACAGCAAGATTGTGTCATCTGTATAATGCAGGTTATTGATGAGTCTTCTTCTAATCCTGACGTGACATTCCTTTTTAGAGTCCAGCCTCTCAAATAATTTGCTCAGTATTAAATATGTATGAGGAGAGGACATAACCCTGACACCCTCCGTTCTTCACTGTAGACCATGTAGCAGCCCCTTGCCATGTTCACATTGCTAACGCAATGAAATGTGACTTGAATAGGGAGACTATTTAGTCTTTAGCAAAAATTTACTATGTGATCAGAGATAATTTAATAAAGATGTGTATGTTTATTTGCTTCATGAATAAAAGATGAAATCTGCTTTACTACAAGAAAGTTATGTTGAAGTTTTTTCAGATTAATATAGGTAACTGCCATTTTATTAATTTTTGTTATATACCATCAAGTCGCTTGCAACTCATAGTGACCCAATGTACAAGAGCCCTAAACCCAGGCGAGCTCTGGTGGCCCAGTGGCAAGAAGCTGCACTGCATTCCCGGAGGTGTGTGATTCGAATCCACCAGATGCTCTGCTGGAGAAGGAGGGACAATCTCCTCCTGTAACAGTCAGATCTGATTTGACAGTTCACACACAAGAAATAATAAAAAAATTTAAAAAAAAAAGAGCCCTAAACCCTGCTCTATCCTGTGCCAACCTCATTGTCTTTGACACACCTACTCCCGTTACCCCAATCAATGAATTGATCCATCTCATCAAGGGTCTTCCTCTCCTGTGCTGTCCCTCCACTCTCCCAAACATGATGTCCCTCTCCAAGGACTGATCCCTCATTGCAACATGCCCAAAGTATGTCAGACATAGCTTCAGAATCTTTGCCTCTAAGGAGTGTCCCACCTTCACCCTCTCCAGGACAAACCTGTCTGTTCTCTTAGCAGTCCATGGTATATTCAACACTCTTCTCCAAGCATCACAGCTCAAAGACATCAATTCTCTTTCTATCATCCCTAGTCACTGTCAATCTGGTACATAGCACACAACTGCAAAGACTATAGCCCTGAACAGGCACACCTTAGTCTCCAGCCTGATGTCGTTGCTCTTCAGTACTCTGGAGAGATCCCTGACAGCTGAATTTCCCAATACAATTCATTGCTTGATTTCCTGGCTGCTGGTACCAAGAATACTGACTGTGGAACCAAGTAAACTAAAACTGTTAACTATCTCAATCTCTCCAC